ATACGATTCACCTTTCCTCTGCATTTTTTTCGTGGTCCTTTTGATTATGGAGCACCAAGAGTCAGCTTCTTTCGAAGGAGATTGATTAGTTGGGACCTGTTTCTTGGCGACTTCGCCTTGAACATTCACCTTTACCATGACTTCTTCAGCCTCGGTCTGCTTCAAGTTGGTTCTGGATCCGCCCTGGGGATGGCGATCACAGGAGCTGCAATACTCTGGATCACAGGAGCAATAGTACTCTGGATCACAGGCGCAACAATACTCTTGGTTGGAAATTCCAGACACGTACTTGTTCTCAAGTCCTTCTGTACCTCAGTCCCCGCTCACTTGACTAGGGCTTATAGGACTTGCTTTGGATTGAGAATCCGATGACTGCATTTCCGGAGCTATCGGAGTCGACAGTAGGGGACAAGATTTCGATTTGGACTTCGACTTGGACTTTTTAGGAGGAGAGCTCCGTTTGAATGGTGAGGGTATTTTGGGTTTTTTCTACTCCATGAGGAGGGGCGGACCTAAGCAATATGAGTCGAGAAGAAGATGTCGTCAGACGGCGGCGAGAGAAAACTCCGTATCGCTTTTTTAGTCGCACTTTTTGTCTAAAGATTTTGATCAAGTCATCGCAAGTCAACGCTTTTTGGTTAACTCTTGTGGACTTGTCTCTACCTTCACTTACGAACTTCAGCTTACATTTTAGTAGTTTTGTATTAATTAATGCGGACGTGTTACGTATATCGTATGATAAACAATAGGTATATCTTCTAGGTTCAAAGGGGCGGTTATATAATACCGAGGGACTTAGTTTAACTTATTAATCAAGTCTCGTCCTAACAAATTCATTAAATAATTAAACAATACTAGAACAAGCAATCTCAAAACGCAAGTGAAGGACCAATTAAATTAAATAAACATGACCTTTATATCTAACAAACATTTTTAACCATCAATCAATCATCTAGAGACAAATGAAAAAACAAGAGAGTTGAAGTTATGATGATTAAATAATTGGACTATTCTTCCACAAGGCGTCACGGTTGGGCACATAGGGCCTTTGTCCCAACAAGATGATAGTGGCGTATTGATATAATATGGGTTTGGTACACATTTATATTCTAGAACACCTAATTTATTTGTGTGTATCTATCTGTTTGTTTATATACTGAGGGTAAAAAGCAGTGACACGTGGTTACAATTATTAAAGATATAATTCGACGTTGTAATGGTGTTCACACATTTTGACTAGGGTGTGAACTTTACGAAATTTTTGATTATTTGGATTGGAATATATGATTTAACTATTCATTAAAAGTTGGGGGAATTTTTTTTTTTTAATTTTTGATTATTTGGATTGGAATATGATTTAACTATCTATTAGAAAAAAGTTTGGGATTTGTTTTTGTAATTCAAAATTTTTGTACCGAATACTTACATCTTTCCGAGAACAGATATTACTTTCCTTCCAAAAAACTTGAATTCAGGTTTTATTCCTCTTTTCAAGAACCACCAATCTAATTTCTGGATAAATTAAGGATTTAATTATGTATCATTATTAACCACCAATCATATTAATTAGAAGCTTGCGATCTCATAATTCATCATCTTGGTTGAGTCAAGAATTTGACTAAGACTACTTTTTTTCTTTTCTTCATTCCGCACCAAAGTAAAAAATGCTTGCAAAATTCTGGTTAGGAACAACATTATGTATTGGTCATATTGTTGCCTTTTTTTTTGTTGCTAAACGTCATATTGTTGCCTCAAGTCAATATTGTGTAAATTATCTGATCCATGAGGTCTAGATAATTAAGGAACCGTCAACAAAGTTATTCTTGTTCATAGCTTCTAGATTAATAATATGCATATTTTTTTTTTGAAAATATAATATGCATATTGATAGTTCAAATATTGTAGTTTTCTTCGGTGAGAATATCATGGACCAATGTCCTTTCAGGATGATCACTTGATTCGAGAGAAAAGAAAATTGTATATGTTATTGACAAAAATTGATCTTGGAGAAACATGATCGACAACAATAAGAGAAGCATCACAACAAGAAGTGTGTCGATTTGATGTAGATCTAGTATCACGAGGTGGATCATTTTCTCAGTAAAAAGGTATAATGCAATTCTTGAGCTTGATTTATTTATTCGCCATCAAAGAAAAGAAAAAAACAGGATCAATCAACCTTAGAAAGCTGAAATTAAAATTGGATTGAACACAATTAGAAGAGAATAAAAAAGTCAAAAAAAAAAAAATTGTACGACTGATAAAATTGATATTTTTTGAAAAAAATAGAAAAACATGCAAGAAAATGAAGAGAAAAAAATATATTCCGATATCATGTTAGTGTTTGTTAAACTTTGTTTTCTCTTTAAGTTGAATGAATTGTGATTTACAACTTAGATAAACTTTGAAACATTCAGAATAACCGACAATAACAAATCCGTTTAACGAAATTACGAAATCATATGTTCAGTGATACATTGCACATATTTTGTTTTGTATACAAAGGAAGAACCATGTTGGCATAGTCATCATGTTATGTTGAAACGCAAATTTGGTAGGGTTTCATGCTGAGATTTGATGGATTGAAAAAGAAAATAAAAACACTGAATAATAAATGGTTTGAGATCTACCAAAAACAGTGAATAAATGTGAATGTGGTAGTTATATAGTTTGATGTAAAATAAAATAATAAACAAAACAAAAATGAGCCCCACCAGCCACTCCTTCAAACGTGTCCTACCAACTCTCTTCTAGAAGCAATTAGGCTCACCTTCCCACCTCCAATCCTTTT